ATTTCTCCCCTCCTCTCAATTATTACTAAACAAACGTAATTAGTGGTCCCAGATGGAGTAGATAGAACTGTTACCCACACTCCCATTAGGACAGGCTAACACTTCTGCTAATGTGTTTTTGTCTGCCAGGACTTCCAATCTACCACATAATAAACCCCAAAGTACTCTGGAGCCAGTCTAGCCAGCAAGCAAATCAGAGTCCCGCTCTTGTCTTGTTTGTGGCAGCACCAGCTCTGTAATTCTCACTCTCACACTGCATTCATGAGGCTGTCACAGTCCTGCTCTACTTCCCAGCTATACAGACCCCTGCTCTTCTGTGTATCCAAAATTGACAAAAAATCCCCACTCTCCTTTGTTCAGCAAGTGACTGCAATGGTCCTCTGTAGTGAGAGGGGACTCCTCCTTTGTTTGCTTTCCGAGAGTAACATTGTGTTTCAGCCGTTCTTGAGGCATTTCTCAACATGCCCAGAGGCAAACTATCATATTATCCATCGATTGCTTTCCTAATTTCCTATAAAAAGCCAACATTCTGTTTTTATTATGCAATACAAACAAAGGCATGGGCAGTTCAGGAGAGCATGGGGGTGGTAATGGTTTGGGGTTTTTTACTTTCTTCTCCTCTACTCCCACCAAATTTTTAATAATATAACTAAACAAATATCTTAAAAATTCTCCTCTGTATATTTAGAAAATTTGTCACTCTAAAAGACCATAAGGAAAATGTTATTGTACAGTCAGCTGAAATGCAGAATCGTCATTGCAGAGCTGGGACAAATATTTAAACTCCAGTTTTTCTGAACACTTGAAGTCATGTTAACCTTTCCCATTACTTTTTCCCTCGCTAAACACCAACTAGCTATTTGGATCACTATAAAACAACGCAAAACAATGTCAAATGGAGACAAAGATAATCCAGTGAACATCAGATTTTGACATGGGGTGTTTTTCCCAGCAGTCTTTAAGGCAATTTAGAGCCATTGATGTTATTTTAACTATTCATAGAGCAGGGAACTGCATGAACTGAGGAAGTATTAATCAGCACTTGCATGAACCAAGCATTAACAGACAGCTCACAGGAAAATCTCCCTTATTTGAATTACTCTACTATGGTACACCTAAATTAGTATTAGCAACTATTTCCAAAACTAAGCCCTCATACAAAGCACTTGGTCCCAAAAAGAAGACCAATAAGAAATACATTCTCTGCCATTTTAAAAAGGCTGTAAGTCACTGTAAACACCAATTTATTTTTAAAAAAGTAAAAAAATCAATAACTGTCACAATTCAATGTGCAGATATTAACTTTTTAAGGGACAAAGGCAGCCAAAGTTATAATCTAGCAGCACATTTTTTCAGAAGGAATATATTCTCTGTTGATAAAGACATCCTTCAGCTTGTATCACAGCCATAAAGTGTCTATACAGATGTCTTGTTCATAAAGACTCAGGATGCATTTTGGGATTTACTATGAAGAAGCCTTCAATACAAGCAAAATACAGCCTTCTATAGACAGGATAACCATTGAGCTAAACTGTTCCCTCTGCCACAAATGCCAGCAGTAGGATCATTTGGTGTGTCTCACTAAATCAAAATCACCTAACACAAAATGTGGAGTTAGAAAGGAAAAGAAAAGAGGAAGAAGAGATTTGGAAAATTAGTTATAGATCCATATGCAGAGAGGAACAGAAATAAATTACTTTTGATAAATGCACTTTAATAAATACTTGACATCCAGAAAATTGCAGGGTCTATGATTTTATCATACCTAAGCCTTCTGTGAAATCTTGAAAGGAGAAAGTTTTGTAATGCTTTTTACTTTTTAATTGAAAAAAGTCCTTGAAGGTGTCAGTTTTTCATATGCATTATGTCTATGGCTAGAGATCTTTTCAGTGGCACAAAATGAGGACTGACGCTCATCAGCTGCCCTCAACTCTACAAGAAAGGAAGTATCCAAAAATTACATAATTTTTAAATTCTTTTCCTTGTTTCAAAGAAATTGAATATGGTCAAGCACAGTTTCACAGGCAGAAGGTTCCAGTAAACAACTGTGAGCTCTTACCACCTCAATATTTCTCTACAGTCATACACCAAAAGTAAAAGCCAGAAAGCTTCCTGGTTTTTCCTGGAGAATCAGCTTACATCTGTCCCTCAGTATGAAGAGCTAAACAAGAAATACGTATTAGAATTTGCATTATTCTTTAAAGAGACAGGAAGATGAAATAGCATAGTTTCTGTCTTATTTAAAAATAAAGCAGAAGAAAGAAAAACCCAAAAATATATCCACAATTACAGCATCACTGGATGTGTGTGGCAAACAAAAAAATGGATGTCCATATTATGATGGCATTTCAACTTCACTTGGCGGGAATCACATGCTGTATCCTGTAGCAACACAAAGTGTGAAGCTCATCATATTCAGTTTAGTAATCTTTATGCATTGAACGGGTCATAGTATAACAAGTCAGTGGGTCATAGTATAACAGGTCATGTAGCATAACAATATGTATATACGAGTATATAGAATAACTAGTGTACCACTGATAAACTACATTCTGATCCTAAGATTAATTAAGCTCTTATTTATATTTTATTCAGTGCAAGTACATCTCCTTTCATGATCAATTTTGGTAACACTCTATTCAAATGAAAATTTTGATTATTTCAGTTAAGATGCAGAGAATCTCATAACCATGAGCTTTAGAATAATTAGGGTAAAATAGAAACATAAAAAACAAAAGGCAGGGTAAAAAAGCTTCTAAATAAGTTCAAACACCTCAGTGTGATGTTACTTTAGAAGGGTCACTCCTGATCAAGACCTGTTCATTGAAAACTGAGAAAAATTACTAACAGTAACACTGGAGGCACCAGTCAAATAGAGCCTGCATATTTGTTCTTCAATTAGAAATTTTCAGAGCATTCCCCAAGATTATCTGGACTTTATTCATGTTTTCCCAGGTTTAGAGTGTACAGACATTGCTTCTGACCTAAACCCAATCTTTTTGAAGGTGGACATGGCACCTTTTTAACCAGCATGCAGCAGCAATCTTTTATAGACAATTACAGTCAGAAGGAGGTAGTGGACTAATAATGCAAATCACAGATCATCTGGGGAGTTAGAGCAGGAACTTCGTCTCTCAAGCACCCTGGTTCTCTTCTCACAAGGAAAGAGCTGTGCAGGCCCTGTGAGTGAGCAGCTCCACTGCAAAGCCTCTGGGGTCTGGGTGGACAGGACTTTAAACCTTAGTGACTTGTGATCTGGCACCAGCACAGGCCAACAGCACTTGTGGCTGTACCAACCGGAAAACTATCAGTTTTCTAATGAAATTATTAAGTTTCCTTAATTAGGGAGCTTCATACTGTCTCTGAATTCATTGTTGGGCAACCTCCTAAGGCTCCTTCCAACCTGAATGATTTACATTAGCCTCACCAGATTGTCAGGATGGTAATTAAAGAGATCACTTCTACCAGTGCAGCATCTCTCAAAATAAAATGCATCTGCTTCTGCAAACCTTTGTGTCCAGAAAGTTTTACATCCAAGATTTAGCCTTACTTGGCCCTACCTTGCTTTGAGATCAGACAAGGTATCATCATTAAGTATCATTTCTGAAGAAGAGCACCTATCACGCTAGCCAAGTCAATCTGTCTTAACAAAATCCATGCCAGCATATTTGAAAGATTACATGTATGAATCATTCCTTTAAAGCAATTACTGTGATGTTTTTATTGGAAAACTCTTGCATTCTTTAGATTCTCAGTGCTGTTCCTTGCAACAAAACCTACAAGCACGGAATGTTGTTCCTTTTGTTTCACATCACCAAAATGAGTACAATCAACTGAGTAAGATTTCAAGACTGTTATCAAGAGTCAAGCCAGACTGTCTTGTGAAAGGGAACTACCACCATATTTATCATAATTCTGATGGAAGGGGGAAAAAAAGGAAAAGAAAAAAAAAAAAGAAAATAAAAGAAAAAAATGAAAGAAAAAATAAAAGGGAGTTACCACCCCTGCAGTAATGCTTTTCCTAAAACCTACAGCTGAACTGGGGAGAAAGTTACTCACTATATTACTATACTAGACCATTGATTTATATTGCCTAAACACAAACACTCAGCTAAAACATTCTACTCAACCACCATTCACCACCAACTCAAGCATACGTGATGCAGCTGTGTCTGTGCCAGGGCTGCTGCAGGAGCAGCAACATCCCTGTTCCTGGCAGGATGAGGAGGGAGCAGAACAAGGAGGAAAAATGGCATTCAAATATTCAATAGCAGTCAAAAAATTTGTTAAATGAGATTAGTACATTCCAGCTAATAGATGAAAATGACTTCATACTTCAGGCATCTCGGAATGTTTAAAGGCTTACAATAGGTAAGTATTACTTTAAGGAAGCACCACATGGGATCACTTATTATGAAATCAGACTTCAAATTAAACACATGGAAAAGAGAAATGCTTTGGTAATTTACTCTACGCCTACCTCTAAAACTCCCTGTTTCATCTTCTGCGCTGCCTGCTCGGTTCTGTGTCAAATTGTCTCCTAATGTGCTCCTAAGTCCTGCCTGTCTCTTGTTACTGCACAGGCGTGTGCCAGGCAGCAAGCCAGCCAGAGACATGTGTCCTGCTGGCTAACTGATCCCAGCTGATTCCCTGCCTCCTGGAGTTAGTGTGATCCACCAAGGCAGCTGAACCACCCCTCACCTCCACACCTTAATCCTGAGCACACCTGCGTTATGCCAGTGCTGGCGCAGTGCTGGCCTTCAAGCTGGTGCAACTTCACCCAGAATAAAGACTGTTTCAATATTTAGGCTAATTGACTCCAGCCTCAGATTTTCCATACAAACTTCCCTGTTTCCTTTAAAGTTGGTTAAACTCTTCTTTGTGAGAAGGAACAATAAAATGAAACTTACGGGGTTGGCCTATTTGCATAAATTCAAAATGAAGTGAACACAGGAGTTTAAAAATACTTTCTTTAATCATTTCACATCCATATGTGGCATCCTAAGATCAGCATGAGTAGAAAAGGAATAATTCTTTGAAAAGCACCAACTCTCACAGACACCAGTAGAGGTTCCTCTTCGGTTTTGAGCTGCATCACCTCCATCACCAGGGCATCCACGGAGAGCAGTGAGGGCTATAGTGGCAGGCATTAACTGCTTTCCTCTAACAGCTCCACCACAGCATCACTGCCTTTCTCTTCCCTACACATCAGCAGATGCAGAACACACTGCAGAGCTGCACATACCTGTAAACACAAAGCCCTTTCAACTCACTACCTCCAGGACTGAATTCACTGTCACTAATAGCTAAATGCCTCCCCTTGAGCCTGTTGGGAAGATAACCTGACGTATGTTCATATTCCGACAGTCCACCTACCAAAACACACATATGACTTAAAGACGTGCAGCACACAGAACTTACCTCAGAGTGGAGCTTGGAAAACAAACCACTATTTCTCAGGCAGACCTAAACCAGTCTCTCTGCCAGGTTTCAGTTCCATATTACGGCAGCCAGGCCCTCACACAAACCGGCCATTCGAGAAAGGCTCCAGAAGCAGTGAGGCTGATGCTTTCCTCTCCTCCAGCTTTACACTGGATCCATATCCAAATGACGTCCACAGCTCCATAACAGCCCAACTGAAAACTGAGTTGTCAACTGCTTCCCCAGAAAGCTCACAAGTTAGAACAAATCTCTAGAGACTGGAGCTATTTGGTAGCAATCAGAGAGTGGATGAATTTCTTAGACATGCACAGAAACAGCTTCATTGAAACTCTCCCAAGCCTGGACCAAAAAGGTTTTTTTAATCAGATTTAGAGCCTCTAAATTTCAATTCATCCAGCAGAGAAGCATAAAGACACTGACATATTAAGATAAACAGGGACAAATGCATCTTCCACAGGCAACAAGTACCATAAAATACCAAGATATTTACGGTGATCCACATCCTTTTATGCACCTATAAGCAGCAAACAGGATTTCATTCACGTATCCTCCATTTAACCTATGAAACTGCACCACTTCTTCACTATGCCAGTCTATCTTCTCTTCCTCCCCAGCTTAAATCTAGAACACTCCTTCATTCTGTACCTTAATAAATAAGTCCCAAACCTCGACAGCAACTTTGCTTCAGCACCCAGCCACTCACCTCCTTTATTCAATGCAGAAAACCAGAGGCTGCTGCTCAGCAGAAGTCAGCTTCTCTTTTAGTGTTAAAGAATTAAAATAACTAACTGCACATCAAGCATTACTGTAGCTCTTTAGAGAAAAACCAACTTCACAGAACAGATCCATTCTCACCCATCTTGAGAAAAAGGAGCAAAACCTTCCCATGGCATGCCAAGAGCAATCCCATTTGTATTGCATCACCTGTGTTACAAAGGTGTTAAGGATCAAAGCCACAATTTTGCTGGCTAAAAAAAGATAACAGCATCATATCAACAATGCTTTAGAACTGCCATAAATGCTTCTGTGCATGTCTCAAAAGAAACCACATATTTTCTTTCTATTGTTTTATTTGCAAGAGTATTTGGAAAACCTTTTATTTCAAAAGTGAAGAGAGAGGGACTTCCCTCAGAGATCTCTAAACTCTAACACCTTTCCTTGACACCACTTGGTTTGTAATCTAAAGAAAAACATTGCAAGAAGTCTATAGATTTCCTTTTGGGCTTCAGGTTCCTTTCTCCAGCAAATCTTCTCTTTTATTGCCTCTCCACTGTTCAGTCTTACAGATTTGTGCAAGCCCTCTTCTTCTTGCACTCTAATTCCTATTCAGCTTAGTCTGAGCCACTTTTCTTACACTCTTCTCTACTTTTGGATGTAGAATACCATGGTCAAGTAAGAACTCGACAATTCTTTACAATGCATATTTTGTTGTCGGTGATGCTTTTAACAGCAGGGTGAAGATTCCATGTTTTAATATTCTTTGCTGCTGTATGTTGAGCGTGAAAACACTGCCAAAGGAGCAGCACTGGAGAAGGGTATGAGTGCCATGGAGCAGCATGTGCCCAGTTCTCTGCTGCTCCTTTTAGAAAGGCTGGGCACCTCTCCTTGCTCACATGTGTTCAGCTTGATGGATTTTTTTTCTGGAAATTTTCTCCTGGAGTGACTGAGAAGGGGCATCTTTAAGATGATTTGGAACAGTCAGTGTTTTACAGCTCCAAAAGAAATTAATACAGTCCATCAGGAGCCAGCAAAGACTTTCATTGGCAATCAGGAATCCCATTAATAACATTTCTAAAAGTACAAGTAGAATCCCATCTTCATTACCTCAGTAATCCTGGAAGGAAGAGAAGCCAAAAAACTTGTATGTTTAAAATTTTAGTTATGTGTTTTCCTTCATGTTTCTCAAGAGACAAATCTGCCTGCCTTTTTCTGTGTAGCATGAGAGCCAAAGTTTTCCCATGCATTTCATTCCAACTTTGTTCTCTATCTTATACCTTCATTAGTATATATATAACTTTTGTGGTTATACGTGGTTGTACAATACAGTTCATTGCACTGAACTATGCATTCTCACTTTTAAGAATGTCATATGAAAAAAAGGTCACGGGTCAGTCCTAAAATAAATTTTAAAGTAAGCTGTTCATATAGACACATGCTATGCAGCTTAAATAGCAGGCATACTATGCTTTGTCAGCAAAACTTATCTTTGGTAGCAGTTCTCCTCCTTAAAACTGAGTTTCTAGAGTTACCTCTCAGCATCTGCTTCTCTTTTCTTGCTATCTATAAGCTGATGTCATTAATATATAGGTTATATGGTTGTACTAATTAATTCTGCTTTTTTTTTTTTAAGTAAGTTTCTGATATATGATATAGTAGAAAACATGGTGGAAAGTACCTGTGGTTAGGCTGAAAAAGAGAGGTATCTGGACTGGCTTCACTTTTGTGCAGAGCACCATGGAAAGGGCACTCAGGAAAATGCTGCAGGCGCTGAAGCCTCTCAGTGCCTCTCCTCTTCCTCACAGACTGAGCTCCTCTTACAGCGTTGCTCCTCATAAAACAGGAACAGTAGAATAGGCCAGTGTCTGAAGTACAGCCACCTATAGAGGGAACATAGCCAGCAGCTGGAATGCAGCAATTCCCAGTAGTTAGAAATTGTTGGAACAAGCCCTTTCATATTAGCAGTTTGTGCGCATTCAACAAAATAAGAGATTTCATGCAGACAAGTTTCAGTTTTAATTGTTAAGTTCTATATTACCTTGAATAATAAGTTATATATTATTACCTTGATAAGGTATAATTATCTTGACTACATTCACAATTATTTTGTCCTTGAACTCCTATGATATTGACTCGTACCTCTCTGTTTCACCTTGTTTCCTCTGCTCTTCTCTACTTTCACTGCCTTGCTTAAGCAATGCCTAATTTGCCAGCAAAGGTCAGGGTCTGTTTGCACCTCCTGTATGTCCGTTCGTTTCACATGACAAGGATTCCTATCAACCACCTCAGTGTTCTTTAACAAGCAGCCTGTTTGTTTATGGCTTGTAGTTCTGAAATTTCACCTTTTATTTCAGCTAACTGAAATGAGAGAAATTACTCCTGCTATGCCTGTGCCATTTCTTTTTTAGAATTCATCTCACTCTTGAGGAATCTCTTCATTCTGTGAGCAGAAACAGGAACTGGTTCAGTTACAAGACATTTCTCTACAGTCAAATTAAATGTGAGTTTTCTAGTACTGCCAAATAAAGTATTTACATTCCATTAAAAACCACTTCATAATGAGCTATGTCCATCCCATTAGTGCTTCCAGTTGCCCCTGAATTATGGTTCAAGCTAATGTATTGATTTTTTCTTTTGTTTAAAGCACTGTACAAAAACAGGATGTCTTACAAGAACTGGCAGTGAAACCTGTGATCATTAAAAATCCAGTACTACATTTTGCAACATTTTTGATGAATCACTGGGTAAATATTTGGCAACAGCATGAATTCTGCAAGCTTGAATTGACTTTTCTCACCCTATTTTCTTGTCCCTTGATGCTTTGATCTTGTGTAAAAGGAAGAATGGACAATAAAAACTCTTACACAGATATTCTGGTTTCACAGAACATGCCTTTTTAATTTTGACAGTTTTTAATAAGGTTTCTGATTTCTTGAAGAACTGTAAAAAGAGAAACTGTGATTTTTCCAGAGAAGAAAATAAAGAATAAAAACAAAAGAAAGATATCCAAAAGAGTTATAAAAGAGATTTTGGGATATTCCAGTTAAAGTTCACAAAAAGAAGTATCTCAATATGTATGTTATGAAATGGATATAGGCTTTATAAAGAATAGCTATAATTGTACACTGAAAACAAAGGCTTTTTATCCCATCATAAAACTACACTTAAATAAAAATATCTACAATGAATGCAGAAAGATTTGCTGAGGGTGGGGGAGCAAAAATATGAAATATATTATACAGATGTTAAATAAGATAAACCCATAAATTAATTTTGAAGTTAGAAAAATGAAAAGACAGCTGAAACTGTTCATCTAAAAGTTTCTAATTTTCTTAACAAAATAGTTTGGCCTCCAAGTTTTCTATGGGTCCTGATTTTTAATACCTGTCTTTGCAAAAGAATCTTTAGAGAGAGGAATCAGACACACACAGTGATTAATGGTTTTTAAAATGGGAGCATTTTTTCTTGGCACCTACATATAACTAAAAACATTGTAAAAGCACTATAGATACTATCACAAAATGAACAGCATGAGGATAACTCTTCATATCTGGCAACCGATGTTCATGTGTCCTGGCAGGTAAGAATCCATGGATTTCTTAGCTGGAACCTTCTGTCAAGCAATCCAGCAGGGCCAGTGATTTTCCCCAATGCACATCCAAGATGAAGCTCCTGTGATGTGAACCATTTTCTTTGGGTCTCAATGTATAACACCTAAAGTTACTCCAAAAAAAGAGCAAATTATCATTTGTAGCAGGGAGTAACTCAACCTCATAAACTGCATTAATCTTAATGAGACATGAGGCAGGGATTGGAGGGGTCAGTAGTAGACAGAAGCAACTTCTGTTTGCATTGAGAGGAAAAAACAGTATTCATCAATACACAGAGGTCTCATGACATGAACAGCAACACTTGCTTCTGGTCAATATTGATTGCAACTTTCAGATAGGCAAAGTAGGAACGTGGGAAAAATCCTTTCCTTGGGACCACCAACCAAAATTAAATCCTTTAGTGGAGGAGTCATGAAATGAGAATTTAATAAATAAAAGGCAAAATGTTCTTTCTTTGGTTTAAAAAGCTGTAAAATTTATCTTTCTTGTCTGCTATTCTCAGTTACCAACACTCCTTGTTCTTTTGTAGGCAGAATATATAATCTAAGAGAAATGAGAACCAAGGCGGGGAAAAAAAGGCACTTAAAGATAGTGGCTTTTTATCAGTGACAAAATATTTGTCTCCCCTTTCTTGAGAAGTTTAGAAGAGTGCTGCTTTTTATCCTTTCAATAAATATTTTTCTCTCTCTCTATTCAGACTATCAAAAATAATAAGAGGAATATAATACAACTTTAAATGAAAGTTTATATATCACATGCTTTATGACAGCTGCTTTTATTTCACTTTAGATTAACAAAGCCTTTGTGTTGAGACTTCGGAGCTGACCTTACAAAGAAGCAGTACCATTAGCCCTGAAGCACATGTTTCCCATTTAATGTTTCTGAGGTAACATTCTTTGTGAAAGTGAGAGAAATGAGAACGCAAACTTGAAGGAAAAAGAAAAGTCTGACTGTCCTCCTTTTGAACAGAATTAAAGTCAGTTTGGACACTTGAAAATATGAAGTGGGAGGCCGTGGCCTTACAAAGAGTTTCTCAATGTGATCCCAAGAGTTACAATGCTCAGCTTTCCTTTAGTATGCCATAGCTCTTTGTCATTTCCTCTCAAGAGGCTGAACATATTTTGCCATCTCAATTTGAAGTGAAAGGTGTCGCTTACATCGATGTTATTTCAGTTTTAACCAGCACTACTCAAATGAGTTATAAGCACACCCAACCAAGAGAGCACTATAATAGTTAAAGCAAACAAACCCAACAAAGTTATTTGGAGGTACAGCAGAAAGGAATTGGATCTGCCATATCTGAAAGAGCCCTAAGTTACTGTTATGCATGGAAATCAAACTAATCTTAATGACATTTTACCATTGCCACGTTCCACTGGTTCAGTGCAAGATCAATGCATTTTTTTCCATCAATAAACTTAACAGTGCCTACCCACAAGTCTTCCACCCTTTTGTTCGAGGCCTTCATACATTAAAGTTTGTTCTTCAGCTACTGCCACAGTCAAAATTTTATGCTTCTAACCCTTCTTAAACTCTTTTCAGTCAGTGAATGTGAAAAGCTGCGGACTAGAGTCTATAAGGTTCAAAGCAAACTCAAGAGAATCAGAAAAATGCCGGAAAGAGGTGGACAATGGCACAGTTTGGAATTCAGTGCATGCTCTTTGTATTTGGGGTCTTGCCAAAGAAAATAAAAACCTGTATACACAAGAAAAGGAGAAAAGCTGTGTGATTTAGAGGAGAAGCTGACAAATTCAGCACTAAAATTGTCATCTATGCCAGTGGAAGCTGGACCAGAGTTCCTCTAAAATATGGCCTTACACTCCAAGCAAGACTCTCCTTCTAAATACACTTCTGCAAAGGCTTCCAACAGGAATGCTGCAGGATTTGCTGGAGGTGCATCCAGGCTCCAAGAGACTGCCCCTGCACAGGTAACTGGGACCAGTTAAGAACAGAGACATGGGATTTTATTTTCTTTTTCTATTCACCTTTTTATTTTTTAAGAAAAAAACAAAAGCATTTGTTTCTTAAATCCATGTTTAAGCGCTTAAATTCAAAGTTCTAATTGAAAACTGCTACTTTTCTCTCTTCTTATGGACACAAATGAGGCTGAGCACTTCTGAAAATTAGAGATGTTATTTAAAAACAATGAAGCAGACTGCTTGGAGCATCCCTGTAATGCTCTTGTCCTAAACCTCAGGGATTTCAGCTGCTTTTTGCCCTAGGACCAATATTCTTTTCAGAAAGCCCACTGTGATCTGTGCCTTAGGAAAATACCTTTTCCTGATCTTGCAGTGGATATGAATTTACGTTCCTGATATCAGATGCAGACAGACACACAGGTTTTCTAAGGCTTTCAAAAGGAGGTTATTTTAACTTACTCTAAGCAAAGATGTACAATCTTGCTTTTTGCTTCACCAAGTCCATTCCCTCATATGTACCTAAGGTTAGACTCCTCCAACCAATAAACCAACCAGTGTTCAAGAAGTTCTTTCTGCTCTACTTTTTGGTGCCTTTTCCTCACCAGCGGAACACTTTGTCCTGCACTTTGACTGTGTGCCAAATGCCTGAACTCTTCTCAGTCTGGGCAGCCATCCCTGTTTGTTTGTTTGTTTGTTTGGGTTTTTGTTTTATGCTGCGTAAACCCAGTATTGGGGAAAAAGAAATAAGAGAAGTATGCTCGCATGATATTTTTGCCATCAGGTATCTGGTGTTCCTTGCCAATATTCCATGTAAGAAACTGCCCTCTGCCTGTACACTCCTCCAGTTTCCTCTGATATATTTAACTTCTGACTCTGAACTGTTGGTTTCCTGTGTTACACTGATGACATAGCTGCAGTTAAGGGACGCCTACGGCTAAATTTGTATTTCAGTAAGCTTAGATATGTTCAGATACAAGAAATCTGAAAGGTGAAACACTAGAAATAAAAATCACTCATGTGCAAGTCCAGACTTAAGTACCTAATATGTCTTACTGAAATGACAGTCTGAATTACCACATTATCCTTGTACTAAGGTCCAAATAGGCTATTTTCACCACATTACAGTCCAAATTAGAATTTACTTTTTGTCTATTATTAAATAATGAACTCTGGGGAAATCTTTTTTTTTCCCTTTTTGCTCTCTCTAATAGCTGGTCTTGATATCATTAAATGGCATAGAACAAGCCAATATTTAGATTTATGTTCAATTTTCTGTGTTTGGTCATTTTGACTTCATTCTCTTTGATGTCTAGAAAATAACTTTTCTTCATGCTCTTTGTATTGAAGGGGGGAAAAAAAATCTGCAATTCTTTTGGTGTGCTAAGAATAGGCATGGATATGTTGGGACAGGAAATACATACATGCCACTACAATTAAAATAGACTAATTTGTTAGCAATTCCATAATGTCCCCCAAATGCAGAAATTCTAAACAGTGTGTAGTCATCTGGGTAACTCCTCTTCTCTTTTCTGCTGCCAGGCTCCATAAGCTGAGTCTTCCATAACAGTGAATATCACGGGGAGAGACAGCATGACAAATTTTGTGGACTAATATTGAACACTGCAGCACCAGCCAGTGTGATATAGTGCATATTTCAGACAGTCCC